AAACATGTAAATTTAGATATTTTGAGAAAAAATATATGTTTGAATTCTTAAACCTTAATGATATTTTTGGAATTTTTAAAAGTATTTTAGAAACTACTACAGAAAATACTTTTTGTAACATAGTATTACAACGACCTCCATGTTAACCGTGGTAATAATTTGTTTTTAGACGCTTTGCTCATAGATAAAAGTTGTAGTGAAATATATCAGAAGTTACATGATTCAAATCTAAACTCTAACAATTTCCCATTTTATGATCATAAAATGGAATTGTCCTTGTATATCACCAAGGTTCTTTTAGTCAACCCTTGTGTAAAATTCAATCATTTCATCACGGTTTGTCTTATCAACCGTGGTGAAATGTGATATTTATTTATATATAAGCGAAATCGTCTTACACTCATTACATAATAGACGTTTCTCTCAAAATAAAACCCTAACATATTTCACTCTTCTCTCTTAAAACAAAACTCTAACATATATGTCACGCATCTCTCGTAGGACAACATTCAGGTTCGTCTTCACCAAACTAATACATCGATTTTGTCTTCTTCAAACTTATGGCTACCTTCAGGTTCGTCTTCACTAAACTTTTTTGCAGTGATTTTGTTTATGTTTGAAACTCTTGTTATCTATTATTGTTTAGTTTTTGTTTATGTTTATGCTTATTGTTTATGTTTCAAACCCTAACATATAATGTTTCAATCCTATATATAATTGTTTTTCTTCAAACCCCAACATATGATGTTTTGACTTGTTTATGTTTTTATTTGTTTTGACTTGTAGGTATGGATTGATGGGTGAATGAAAAAAACTAACGAGGATGAAGTTAAAGTGAGCACAACAAACTTGTGTGAGCGCTGCAAACTTATCAATTAACACGTATTTGCTACTCTCACTTTATCTTCATCCTCCTTTTCTTTAATTTTAGGTTCCATTATAGGACATGTACGTTTACTACTACAAAACGCGTAAACAACAATGCCATGGTCACCACGGTTCTTTCCTACACCGTGGTGACATCTTTAAACTAATGTGCTACCATATTATTTTTGTTTTTTTATTAAAAGTTAATTGTACATAACAAAATTTTTGGAGCCAACCGTGGTGATATCATGAAGTCTTCATGGGTTCGAACCTCAAATATCTCATATATATTATTCTTTTAAAGTTAAGACACGCCTTTTCATTTTTATTTATTTTTAAATAATAAAGTTAAAGGGTTATGACTACGGCTGGTTTGTTCCACCGTTGTGATATATTTATAATAAATAAATACTTACCAATACAGTTGGTAGATAACCGTTGTGAAAAAATTTACCCATATATAAGCGAGTTAACTCTCACTTATTGATAGTAACGTCGTTTGTTTCACAGTGAAACCCTAGCACCCATCTTTTCTCTTCTTCTTCGCCATTAGCCGTGAATCTTGTGCTTCATACATTAAGGTATTCTTCTTCTTCCATCTTCGCCATTATCTCGTTTGTTGTATGTTATTTTTGTTGACTGTTCTTATTTTTTCAAATTCGTCTTCACTACTTTGTCTATGGGACATATTATTTGTGTAGATATGGAAAAAAGTACAAGAAGCCTGAAGCTATGATGGAAACTTCACCCACCTTGTACTTCTTCTTCATAGCTTCACAAACAAGATGATTTTCATACTCTGTTCACATGTTGGTAACTTCATATTAATTCCTGTTTCACGATTATTTTAAATAAAAGGTGCGTCCTAGAAACTTATAATATATCTTTTTCATTGCTCACAAATTCATAATATTTGGTTATGGTGTATGATGTTGTTTGAGTTTATTATATTCTATGTAGATTGTTTGTTTCACTAACCCTCACTTAAAATACATTCATTTAAATTGACATAGATACTCTAATCTGAATATTAAATTGTATTTGAAAACCAACTTATATAAATCATTGCTTCTGAATTTCATGTGTCTCGTTGTTCATTTTATGCTCTTTTACCTATAGTTTATGGTATAATGACCTGTCTCCTCAGATGCATCGTTGTCTTCGATTATAGTTAAATTTCATTAACTATAATTTATTAGATAGTATATCTCTTCATCAACAGTAATGATCATAAAATTTAGGACTATAAAAATTACAATGATAAGTAATGATGATGAGGTAGATTATCCAATGTCTTGTTGTTATAGAAATTTAACTATAATCAAAGATAACGATGTATTGAAGGAGTTAGATCAATAAACCACAATATATATGTAAAAGAGAATGAAATGCAAGATGAGACGCATGCAATCAGAAAAAACAATGGTTTGTTTAAGTTAGTTTTCAAGAATAGCTTAATTTTCAGATTATAGATTTCTTCATCAATTTGAAAGTTTGTATTTATTTAGTGTGGTGTATTTAGTGTGGTGTATGGGAAAACAAGTATTCTACATACTTTCCAGAACGGTTATATATTGTAATTATGATCAAAGGTGATTTATGATTTATATAATTTGTGTTGATGGGTTTCGAACCCAGTACCTATGTGTAAGTATCACAACAGTGGATAAGTATAACCGTTGTGATAAGTGGTGTGCGTCCTTCCCTTCAATAACGGTTTCTAGACCGTGAAAGAAACAACAAACTTACAATCACACCCTACTCAATAATGGTATGACTCGTATAATGGTACCCATTTCCCAACCATTGTTAAATGGGTTTTCGGTAGTAGTGGTTCTATGTTGTTTAAAGTTTGTTGTTGATGAATGTTGTTGTTAATATTTGTTTTGTATGAGTTTATTATATCTTATGTGGTTTGTTTGTTTTTCCAACACCTTACCGAATATATATTTCGGATTGCGTTAGAAAATTATAATATGATAGATAAAGTTATATTAGAAAATAAGTTACATGTTCAATTCTAGACAAGAATTCTTCAGACCATTATCTGTATTTCGCTCTTTAACAGTTTAGACTTGGTTTAACGCTCCATGCTCTTCAACCTCCCGTTTTTTCACCTCTAATTTTGTTTTTCAAAGTAAATAATATATTTCAAAATGAAATAGAGGTGAGCAAATGGGGGTTGAAGATCTAGGAGCATTAAACTACGTTATAACAGTTAAGAGAAAAATATGATTAAGGAGCTGAAGAATTCTTGTTTAGAATTGAACGTCTAACTTGTTCTTCTAATAGCATTTAATTTTTTATACTATGATGTTCTAGATTAGATAGAAACATTATTGTTTAGTGAGAATTGTTGAAATAATTATTCTACATAATTTATAATAAACTCAGTGTATATATCACAACGGTTGCTTAGAACAACCGTTGTTAAAAATTTTTCTTTAAAGTATACGACAATGGTTAATAAATATTATATAAAAATAAATAATTTATCACTTACAAGTAAGAATGACAAACATAACGGAATGAGAGAACAAATTCAAATATTATTAGTTCTGTCATTTCTTATTGTACCGGCCCTGCCTTCGCTCTCATCCTTAATTGAGAATAACGAATAATCACTCATCTCGCATCACCCTACTACGTGCGCGCACGCGCGCATATATATATATATATATATATATATATATATATATATATATATATATATATATATATATATATATATATATATATATATATATATATATATATATATATATATATATATATATATATATATATATATATATATATATATATATATATATATATATATATATATATATATATATATATATATATATATATATATATATATATATATATATATATATATATATATAATTTTTTATAACAACGTAAATCAATTATTAAATTAAATACCAGATGGTTTTAATAATAAAAATAATACTTGATTAATTATATTAAATTTATATTTAAAATTTTTTTTTATTAAATTTGCTATCCTAAGATTAAAATAAGCAAATAGATATTAAAATTATTAAAAATAAATACAAGAAAATAAATTTAATAGATCGGCTCGAGTACTAGCATCCACGCTCTCGTCCACATAATTAAAAATAGGATTTTTTTTCTGCACCTACCCCTACCCCCAATTAAATCAATTTTTTTCGTTATACTCCAAACTGAAACGACATGATTCAATTGAAGACGGATTTTTTTTTATCATACCTACTTACAATGTAAGAGACTATGTAAAGAATGTCAAATTTATATCAATACTTTTCAGTTCTTGCAATTAATTTCCATATTTATTTAATTTTCATTGTTTTCAACCCAAATGTTTCTATTAACAATGTTTGTCTTTCACAACGTACAACGTAGTATTCAAGATATATAATTGTAATATTGCGTTTTAATTGATTAGTGTAAAAATTTCACACAAATTATTTGTATTTTTTGTGAATTAATGTGTTGATAATATCTTGAATATTATATTTTTTTATAAAAATGACAAATATTTGTTTATAAATAAAACTGAATTCTTTTTTCACTTGAAATTTTATGAACATCAAGAACATATATTATTTATTTTTTAAATAAAATAAAGATTTTTCCACTCTGATTGCCGGTCTATTTGAGGAATAAATATTTCTATTGCAGTTAAAAAGAAAATTATAAACTACAAAGAATATCATTTATAATTTTTTATCATTTATCATTTTCTTTTTGCGTTGCAATATCATTAAATTAAATTATTAAATTATTAATTTTTTAACTTAAATAATATCATTGAAAAATTATTTCTAAATACATCAATTAATTACAAGAGGCGAAACCAACAACCATAACAATGACATTCTCTAAATAAATTATAAGAGCTGAAAAATGTTTTTGTTAAAAATCGGTAAAATTAATTTCTTTCACATATAACAACAACATCAACACGTGACCTTTAAATATTTGCTAACTAATTTAAAAATCTTAGTTTTTTTTCTCTCGAACTCATTTCCGGCGATAATTGATGTTTAAGAATTTGGAGTGATACAAATGAATTATGTTAGAGTAAAAGTGAAAGCAAGTAGATGTTTAGTATCCTCCTTATTAATGAATCACAAGATGAAATTTCATTTTTTAAACAAGTCTCCTACAGTCTTCTGAGCATCACCAGCAGCTTTCGCAACACCACTAAAAACACCTGGTTCAGCGGGTGGTGGATCTGGTTTGGAATGAACATAATCAGCAGCCTTGTCAACGTACTCTCCTACGGTCTTCTGAACACCACCAGCAGCGCTTGTAACCTTTGCAGTCTGTTCCCCCACAGCTGTCTTTGCTGATGCTGCTGTTGCCTTTGCATTCTTTACAAGATCGCTATCGGTGGTTCCGGTTGACGCCATTGTTTTTAAGCAAGGGTTGATGATAGCTTACTCAAGGGTTCTTCAGTTATTTATAATGTATGACTGATGTGCTGATATTATGCAATGTGAAAATATCTATGGTAATTTGTGGTTGGAGATTTTAATGTATCGACATATCATACATAAATAAATAAATAACATAGTAGGGTAGGGAATACCGAATATGTTATACGTGTCCTTTTAAACACCGTTTGCTTTCTATGTCGGCAAGGCGCGTTCCTTTTACCACCACCACTCATTATTTGTTTTTTCATATATAGGTATATAAAATATTTAGATAATAATATTCGGTTAGTGTAAAGTTTTTTCACATATTCAACTAATAAATAATAAACAATTTTTATATTATTAAATAAATTTAAAATTTTAAAAAATATAATTTAATATATAATTGTGATTGATTGATAATACAAAATTATTTTATATTGTTCGTAGATTATTTATTTTCTCAAATATTTATAGGTAAAAAATTATTGAACACTGCTCTAAAAGGCCAGTTGTAATATCTAAAGGTTTTTGCCCCAATAAAATACTTGAGATGACTTTTCTAAAAAGGTAACAGAGGGCGAAGTTATGTAAGAGCATAATTATCGGCCGACAAAGTGTCGTTGTTACACAGTTTTTAATATTTGGATAATTGAGAAAAAGTAGTGTTCTTATATTCATGCATGTTCTCTGATTTAACCACGTTCTTTAACTGATTTTTTGTCCAAGTGTAAAAAAGTAATGGTTATATCATTAATGGAAATTGTTACAAGCCATAAATATTAATTTTAATTTCAATTTTTTTTGAAAGTTGAAAGAATGCAACGGTAAGAATTTTCTAACGGTCATAATTTTTAACATAATAAATAGTTCCTCATTTTATTATAATTTTGATTTACCACTAGTTTAATTTTCAACTATTTATTTTATATCATTTTTATTTTCTTCTTCTTGCACATTCATTTGTCAATGGATCCCAATCAACATAACTCTTGGTCTAATTTTATACAAAATGGTGGTATTCTTCCTTCAATTCCAAATCAACAAAGCAACTCATACATCGGAAATGTACCTCTTATCTCAAATTCACACCATAACCCAAATTTTCAAAACTCTCATTTTATCCCAAATTCACAAAATAATCCACACTTTGGAAATTACTCATATCATACTCCACCTTATCCATATCAATATCAACAACTTACATCTCAACCAACTAACCCCACTATTCCTCATGTGGCTCAAATAGGCAGTAGTGGTGTGCAATCAAATGATCAAGAACATGAAACACAACAATTTTGCATTCAAGGTAGCGTAGAAACTATTAACCTTGGTGAAGAAGTTGCATCTGCACCGGTTGCGAAAACGCCTAAACAAAGGTTCCAACAAAAAGAGGATGAAGTTCTCATTCAATCATGGCTCAACGTTTCAAAGGATTCAATTGTTGGGGTTGATAAAAAAGGAGATAGTTTTTGGAACAGGATTGGCGAAGCTTACAACAAGCATCGTGACACCAATTACAAAGAGAGGAAACCGATGGCACTTAAAGGTCGATGGCACAAAATTAATCCATCTGTTCAAAAGTTTGTTGGATGCTACAAACAAGCTGTGTCTACACAACAAAGTGGGAGCTCCGAGAGCAATATCATGCAAGCTGCATATAAAATTTATTTTCAAGATGAAGGTGAAAAGTTTATATTTGAGGCTGCATGGAGATTATTGAAAGATGAACCTAAATGGCTCGCGGGTTCATCGGAAGCTTCTACAAAAAGAACAAAGAATTCAGCTTCAGGAGCATATTCTTCATCTTCTAATCCACCGACACCAACGAGTAGCGGATACAATCCACCATCGCCTACTTTGTCACGCCGTCCAATCGGTCAAAAGGCAGCCAAAAGGAAAGAGAAGGAAAAGTTTGTGGAAATGTCAACTACTCCCAATGTCAAATATGAGTCTTTGAAAGATGACTTTAAAAAAAATTGATTTGATGTCAACTTTTGCACGAGACTATGCACGCATTGAGGGTGAAAAAGTTGAGATAGAAAGAAAAAAGGTTGATGCAAAGATTAAGAAGGCTGAGAGTGCGGAGGAAAGATTGAAGATGAATGATCTGCAAATACTCTCCAAAGATACATCAAATATGGATACGCGACAACTACAAGCTCATGAAATATTGTGCGACATGATTAGAGAAAAATATGGAATTAATTAGTATGATTATGTATTTTGGGTTTAATTAGTAGGATTATGTATTTTGAACTTAATTAGAATAATTATGTATTTTGGACTTTATTAGTATGATTATGTATTTTAAATTTAATTGGTATGGACTTAATTAGTAAGATTATCTATTTTTAAATTTTGATTATTCAAACTAGCCGTTATTCAAACTAGCCGTTATTCAAAGTCAAACTAGTCGTTATTCAAACTAGTCGTTATTCAAAGTCAAACTAGCCGTTAGAAACTAGTCCTATAAATAGTATTAACATGCACACTAAGCTTCATAGATTTCTCAACCTTTTTCATTCTATAGAATTTGTTATCATCTTCCACTCAATATCAAACTTCTTTTCACATGGATCCTTCCAATCCTTCCCATATCGCAAAAATGTTCATGGATTATATGAATGATGATATGGATGAAGAACTTGTGAGGTTGGTTATGGAAGAAGAAGCCTCGAGCTCTAAAAGGCCTAGACGTCAAAGAAGGAATATAGAGAGGAATCGTGAAGATGGACATGATCGATTGTTCAATGATTATTTTTCACAAACTCCGGTATACACGAATGAGCAGTTTCATCGAAGGTACCGAATGCATAAACATGTGTTCCTTCATATTGTTGAAGCTCTGGGTCAGCATGATGAGTATTTTCGAATGATGGTTGACGCAACTGGTAGGTCAAGTCTTTCACCATTACAGAAATGCACTGCTGTTATCCGTATGTTGGCATATGGTACATCTGCTGATAGTGTGGATGATTATTTGAGAATTGGTGAAACCACAACACTAAAATGTGTTGATAAGTTTACAAAAGGAGTGATCAACATCTTTGGGCCATAATATTTGCGAAGGCCAAACGCTGAAGACATTGAACGCCTAATGTGAATGGGAGAGGCGCGAGGATTTACAGGTATGTTAGGGAGCATCGATTGTATGCACTGGGAATGGAAAAATTGTCCGGTTGCATTGAAGGGGCAGTATGTTTGAGGCGATCATGGGAAACCAACTGTTATGCTTGAAGCAGTGGCTTCACAAGACTTGTGGATTTGGCATGCATTCTTTGGGGGTAGCGAGTTCAAACAACGATATTAATGTGTTGAACCAATCTAATGTCTTCAACGATGTTCTACAAGGACGAGCTCCCGAGGTTCACTATACAATCAATCATACTGAATACAACAAGGGTTATTATTTGTCAGATGGTATTTATCCTGAATGGGCCACGTTTGTGAAAAGTATCCCGATGTCACAAGGGGATAAGAGAAAATTGTTTGCCCAACATCAAGAAGCCGCGAGAAAGGATATTGAACGAGCATTTGGAGTTCTTCAATCCCGATTTGCGATCATACGTAACCCAGCACGATCGTGGCACTTAGACACACTCCAGCGCATAATGAATACATGCATAATATTACACAATATGATTGTTGAAGATGAATGTTCCACATATGGTAGAAATTTTGATTTTTCTTATGATCATTTGAGCAATGACGCGACAACATTGTCGAATGATTCTAATATTGATTTTCAAGAGTTCCTACGTAGAAGATTTGATGTTCGTGATAAACAAATTCATCGACACCTTTAACATGACTTGATAGAACATATATGGCAACGTTATAGACCAGAGAATAGTAACAATTGAAACATGTTTTAAATATATCGTTTTCTTGTATTTTATTATAGTAATTTATTCTAACTTTTATGTTTTTTAATGTATTTTTTAAGTAATTTATTTTAACGTTTATGTTTTTTAATATATTTTTTAAGTAATATATTTAATTATTTATTTATTTAAATTTTATTTCATTTTAAATGTACAATTCTTTTTAATGTATTTTGATATATTTGAATTAAATTGTTTCAATTATATATTTTTTATAATAATAATAATGTGAAATATATTGTAAGATTTGGTGGGATCCATTTTAAAGTTTTTGATGGGTTGTATGGATATTTAAAAAATGTAGTTGGGTTGTTTAGAAAATGTGAAAGTGTGATATAATATAAAAAATTAAGTGGGTCCCATTTAAAGAACCCATAAAGAGATGATGAATGTGGATGCTCTAAGTAGTTGTTTATTTAGAGTTTATCAATACCACGTCATATAAAAAAGTCATGTGATACTTATGATGTGGATTTGGATGGGTTAGATATAAGAATTAAGATTAAATTTGTTGAAATATTAAATTAGATTTATTAAAATATTATATTAGATTTGATTTAATTAAATTTAATATTTAAATATAATTTAAGTTGGGTAGATATAAGTTTAATTAGGGTTGTATATAAATAATTTTAATATTATTTGTATAATTCAATAATATAAATTTTTAATTCTTTTATTATTCTCTCTTTCTCTTCTCACCAAAGTGCCCCACGCACTAATAAATTGGTATTTAGAATTTTCGATTATTATTTTTGATCGAATTTTCAAGAATTTCACGTCAGAGATCGTGTTTCTATGGCAAGTGAATCAACCGCTGCGAAGATGGCTAGTGATAAGGACATTCTGAATTCTCTTCCAATGCTTGGCGATAAGAATTAAATCCGATGGAAAAAAACAGATGCAATCCTTGTCTGACTTCCATGAAACCCTAGAAGTGGTTACCAACAGAGTTCCTGCATTGGCTGTAAATGCAACCGACGAATAGAAAAAAGGCTACAACAAAGTCAAAAAGAAAGATTGCAAGGCTGCTTATTGTATTCAGACGGTGGTCGATGCTGCTAATTTCGACAAAATCTCTTATGCTAAAGCGGCGAAGGAGGCATGAGATATTCTAGTGAAGTATTACAAAGGAGGTGAGACAGTCAAGGTTGTCAAATTATAAACCTTGCGGCGACAATATGAGTTGTTGTTGATGGGAGAAGATGAAAAAGTTGCAGAATATGTGTCGAAGGTTCAAAAACGCGTCCATCTCATAAAGGGTTGTGGTGAAACCATAACTGATAAGATGATAACTGAGAAGGTAATGAGAATGCTGACCTCTCAATTTGATCACATTATCGTAGCTATTCAAGAATTCAACAATCTTGAAACCACTAAAGTGGAAGATTTGGTTGGTTCGTTGAAGGCGCATGAGATGAGGATTGTTGAAAGGAAAGGAGTGCAAGACTCAATACAGGCTCTGCAAGCTCAGTCATGGAAAAAGGATGGTGCTTCCAATAAATTCAAAGGCAAGTTTGACAAGACTCAGGGCAAGAAGCCTTGGTCAAAACCTCACAAACATCAGGTCGAAGATGGAGCTTCTGAATCCTCGAAAGGAGGAGGAGGAAACTATTGAAAGGGAAACGAAGATAAAAAAGGCATGCAATGCTATAATTGTGAAAAGTGGGGTCACATAGCTAAGAATTATTGGTACACAAAAGACAAGGGATCAACAAGCAAGGACAAAGGAGCGAACCTGGCGCGCCAAGATTCAGATGATTTTGAAGGTGGTATGGTGGTTATGGCTGCAGTTGTAGATAACTATATCGAATCCAAAATCTAGTTTCTTGACTCGGGCTGCTCAAACCACGTGACTGGTCGAAAGGAGTGGTTGGCAGATTTTGACGAGTCGAAGAAGAGCAAGGTGAAACTTGTTGATAATAGTTCATTTTAAGCAGAAGGTACTGGAAATATAGTCTTTCAAATGAGTAATAGAGGGAAAGATATGATCAAAGATGTGCTTTATGTACCTGGAATAAAGTGGAACTTGCTAAGTGTTGGACAACTAGTCGAAATTTTTTCTCAGTTGTCATGAAAGATGGAGTTTTGAAATTGTTTGACACCAAGAACAATTTGGTCTTAAAATCTTCGTTGTCGAAGAGCGGGACATTTAAGACAATGATCAGTTTGACTGAAGTTCAATGTTTGAAAATTGTTATTGACCACAAGGATAGTTAGTTGTGGCATTTGAGGTTTTGAAATTTAAATTTTTTATCACTCAATTAATTGATTACTCAAGATATGGTTACTGGAATTCCAAGTCTCGAGATGCCTGAAAAAATTTGTGAAGGTTGTTTAGTAGGAAAGCAATCCATAAATTCTTTCATTTCGACTATGCCAATGAGATCATCTTGCATAATCTAAGTGATTATTGAGAATACATTTGAAGTTGAAGAAGAAGCAGTTGCTTACATTTCCGACACAGTCGAAGTCGAAGAGGTTGTGGCTGAAACAAGCCAAAGACCTCAAAGAAATAGAGTTCTTCCAACAAGACTTCATGATTATGAAGTGGTGGGTGATGATGAAGTAATACCAGATGAAGAATTAGTTCATTTTACTTTACTTGTAGGTGTTAAACCAATTAACTATAGTGAAGCTTTGAAGACTAAATAGTGGAAGTTATCTATGGTCGAAGAGTTACAAGCAATCGAAAGAAACAACACATGGGAGTTATTCGAATTTCCAGCATATACAAAAGCTATCGAAGTAAAGTGGGTATTCAAGTTGAAACATAATATTGATGGATCTATAACAAGACATAAATAAATATTAGTAGCTCGAGGGTTTCTTCAAAGAGAAGGACTTGACTACTCTGAAGTATTTGCTCCACTAGTAAGATTGGAGACTGTTCGACTAGTGGTAGCATTGGCATGCAACCAAGGCTGATCGACATTTCATTTAGATGTAAAATCAACATTTTTGAATGGTCCTTTATACGAAGAGGTCTATGTAACACAACCTCTAGGGTTTATGATTCAAAAGGAAACGAGTAAAGTATATAAGTTGCACAAAGCACTCTATGGCCTCAAGAAGGCACCTAGGGCATGAAACAAGAAGATCGACTAATACTTAGTCGAATTGGGATTGTCAAATGAAAATCTGAGTATGGTGTCTATGTTCAGGTTGTAGCATAAGATATAACAAGCATATTCTTATATGTCAATGACTTGCTAGTAACTGGAAATAGCTTGGAGAACGTGTCGAAGTTCAAAGAGCTGATGATGAAGGAATTTGAAATGTCTGATCTGGGAAAATTGTGCTATTTCTTAAGTATGGAATTTCA